TGGGCGTTGATCTCATTCTACAATTGATGCTCCCAGAAATTCGACGAGGAACTAATAAGGAACCAATCGCACAAAACACTCTTCTTGGTTGGATTGTTTTTGGACCAGTGATGGAATCCATGACACACTCCATCACTGTCCGTTGCAACGTCACGAAGCTCGATCATCTGGTGCAAAGGTTCTTCGAACTAGATAGCGTGCCGCCTGAACGCCAACTCACCACAGAGGAACGATGGTGGAACGGAAAATACATGGTTCGCTTACCGCTGAAAACCTTGTTTGACCCGTCACAAGTTCAAGGCCAATCAAAACATATAGCCTTGAATCGTTTCCACGCATTACAGCGAAAACTGCAGCATCGCGATCAGCTTCATCAACAATATGTCCAAGCAATCGAGGAATATTTTGACCTACAGCAAATACAGGAAGTCACTACAAGCGAAGACAGTCACTCTCAGACTAACATAAATGGGAAGCTCGGCGTCTTTTGCAGCACTATTCCACACCATGCAGTCCTGAAGGAGGACAGCCTGACTACTAAACTCAGGGTAGTTTACGACGCCTCTTGTAAGAGCTCCAACGGGAAATCACTGAATGACATCTTATGTACTGGCCCAGCTCTACAGAACGATTTGGGAGGAGTAATCCTAAATTGGCGTTGTTATCGCTACGTTTTCGTGGCTGACATCCAAAGGATGTACCGATGTATCGACATGCATCCAGAGGACTCTCAATTCCAGCGCATTTGGTGGCGTGACAAAACCGGAGAGTTGAAAGAGTTCCGTCTTACCACAGTTACCTTCGGAACGGCATCAGCGCCATACACGGCGATTCGAGTGATCCACCAAATAGCTCAGGACGAACGAGAAAATTATCCGCTAGCAGAAAAAGTGCTGCAAAGGGAGATTTATGTGGATGACGTACAAAGCGGCCATGAGACCACGGACGGTGCCATTCGAGTACGAAACGATGTCATAGCAGCCCTCCGCTCTGCCGGTATGCATCTTCGCAAATGGGCAGCAAACCATCCAGCGTTGCCTAGCGATATTCCCGAAGTAGATCTCTGCAACCACTCAATCTTCGAAATGGACAATAAAGACAGTATTAAAACGCTTGGACTGTACTGGCAGCCCAACCCTGACGTCTACGGATTCAAAATCCATTTCGCGATCAATCCCACACTTTCGAAAAGGTCTCTTTTATCAACAGTGGCGCGGCTCTTCGATCCATTAGGATTTTTAGCACCCGTGATAGTCATGTCCAAGATTCTCCTCAAGGACGTATGGAGTTTCCGTATGCAGAAACCTGATGGCACATACAGTGCACTCGATTGGGATGACATGTTACCAGAATCTTTGGCCGAGCGTTGGCAGCAATATTTCGAACAGCTTCCAGAAGTTCAACACATTCGAGTATGCAGCATTTGCCTATCTTCGAGTACTCGACACGGCTGGAAGTATACACACACACTTAGTCGCAGCTCGCAGTAGGGTAACACCAACAAAGCCTCTCACCATACCAAGAGTGGAGCTCTCAGGAGCAGTTCTGGCTGCCAAACTCGCCACATGGATCCAGCAGCAACTTCACGTGCCTCATATGCGTGTCACAGTGCACTACTGGTCAGACGCCATGATCGTACATGGATATAAGGAGATATAAGCTCTGTTGGAACGGCCCAGACTGGTTGCAGGAACCCGAAGATCATTGGCCCAAGGTAACTCCTACATCTCCAGATCCGAGCACACTCTGCGAAGAACAGGCAGCAAAGGTTATACACGCTCACACCTGTTCATCCACTGACTCCTTCGTTGAGTCATTTTCGTCATACAATCGACTTGTATTTTCCACAGCATTTATTAATCGCTTTATCCATAATGCTCGCTGCAAAAGGGAGGCTCCGCTTTCCGGACCAATCAGCGTAAAGGAGTTTTCCAAGGCAATGTCTACTCTGGTTCGCATTGTCCAACAGTAAGCATTCTCTAACGAACTGTCCAAGTTGCGAACAAATAAATCGCTCCCAAATTCTAACAAGCTTAGCCAACTGTTGCCATTCATAGATGCCCAAGGGATCCTCAGAGTGCGGGGTAGACTCCGAAACGCCTTGCAGCTCACCACTCAAGAACGCACACCTATCATCCTACCTCATACCTCGTCATAAAAAACGCCCATCTGAACACCATGCATGTAGGAGTGCAACTTACTCGTGCGATCACCCAGCACCAGTTTTGGATCATTAATGGAAAACAAGCGGTAAAAGGAGTTCTTCGACAGTGTGTGGCGTGCTTTCAGCATCGCCCTAAACCCTCTCGACAATTAATGGGAGATCTTCCATACCATCGTGTTAATCCGCCGAATCGAGCGTTCGAAGCCACAGGTGTGGATTACACAGGAGCTATCGAGGTCAAGTCCTCGAGATTTAGGGGACACACTACATACAAGGCCTACATTGCAGTATTCATTTGCCTAGCCAGTAAAGCTATCCATTTAGAGCTGGTGACAGGACTCACAGCACAACATTTCCTCTTGGCTCTCATCGGACGCCGCGGATTTGTGCGGCACATGTACAGTGACTGTGGCACAAATTTTATAGCAGCAGATAAATCCCTACACTTGTGGTCTAACGAGTTCCGGCAAGAAATCAACCAGATAGTCGTCCCAGAACTCACACAGCGCTATATTCAGTGGCACTTTAACCCCCCACACAGCCCAAACTTCGGAGGACTCTGGGAAGCTAACGTCAAAGCCGTAAAAACTCATCTTCACCGTTCCTTCAAAGGATACCCAATGACTTATGAACATTTATCAACCGTTCTCATTCAGATCGAGGCATGCCTTAACTCTCGGCCATTATGCCCGTTAACTGCGGACATTAACGATCTGACAGTGTTGACTCCAGCTCATTTTCTCATCGGAGACTCCATGCAATCGCTTTCTACGCCTAGTGACAAGGACAAGTCGCTCAACACACAGTTCATGGAGGGACAACGGATCCTACGCCAGTTCTGGAAAAGGTGGAGCTCAGATCGGTTGTCTCACCTTCAGGCACGCCCTAAGTGGAGACAAGAGGAAGAGAACCTACAGGTCAATGACCTAGTTATAATCAAGGACGACAGGACAGGTCCAACCGCTTGGAAACTAGGTCGTATTCTAGAATTACACCCTGGAGCCGATGGGATGGTACGAGTTGCAACAATCTATACAAATTCGGGTACATATACGCGATCAGTATCCAAGCTCTGCAGATTACCCATTCCGAATTACACGGAAGCTAAAGTCGAGAAAGCTAATATTGAACAATAGACACGCACTTTGATCTCACATCCATACCACAGCAAACATTTCACCTGTTTCTTTCAGTTACCATTAGAAGGATGTCTTAATACGGTCATTTGTTGTCGTAACGTTCAGGACTTAACGTTAGTGCATACCACAACCCTATAATCGATACCTCATCGATTCCTATCGATACCAGACCCAATCCTGCTTAGAGCAAGGGACCCATCTATAAGTTCAGCAGCCATTACGATTTTACGATCTTAACGAAAAAAAAACTGAACACACATTTTTTATATTGCCAACCATTGTTGCTCTCCAAAATCAATTCAAATTAAATTCAAGTGAAACTATTGAAGTAAAACCATTTGTTTTTCTTAACGAGCAACAGCAAAGTCCCCATAGCAGACTTCTGCTAGTCATTGACTCCCGTATTCTATCGGCGCAGTCACAACACAGCTAATGATATAAACAAAATTTCAAACTAATAAAAACAATGTCGGCAGAAAGAAAGTTTCGCGGTAAACGGTATACCGATGAACAGGAGAGCGTGCAATCTATGGCTCCAATGACTTTCGGAAACTTGGCTATTGAAGATCTTCAATACGCAGGTACTTCATAAATTGTTTTGAAAAAGACGTTATAGCAAAAGAAACTTCCTTAACAATCGCCAATAGTTATAAGAAAACTGCCACATGCGTAGAATCTAAGAGTTATTAGAAAATTAACCCATGACTATATTGTCGTTTCCCTGCAATAATGGTTTTTGACTATATGGAATTAGTAAAATCAAATGAATGCACTTACTTCTTTATTTTAGATTCAAGTCGCAAAACAATTTTTTGCAAATTTTTTAACAAATTCTTCATTACTGTAATGTTGGAAGTAATTTCTTTGGTCTTGATATCTGCACCGATAGGTTCGCACTTTAGACAAATCGTTTGGGAATTCATTTTAAAATAAATTTGATGACTTAACCAATTTTGATTTATATTTAACTGTAAATAGAATCACCTGTTTACGAATGAAGAGTGGAACCAGATTGACAACGCTCAAATGTCTGGCAACACTTGCGCACAATATACAACCGCGCAAATTTTGCACGATGGATGAAGTACCGATCTTGATCAGGATCACTGGCCGAGTCGATCTAGCCATGTCCGTCTGTCCGTCTGTCTGTCTGTCTGTCCGTATGAACGCTGAGATCTCGGAAACTATAAAAGCTAGAAGCTTGACATTTTGCATGCAGATTCTAGGAGTTCCTACGCAAGCGCAGCGGAAAAGTAAAAATTCAGTTTTATTGTGCTTATTCGTTAAAAAGTTACGGCGGATCAAAGTTTTTATCCCCATCTCCTTTGCACTCCCTTTAGCTGAGTAACGGGTATCTGATAGTCGGGGCACCCGACTATAGCGTTCTCTCTTGTTTGTTTATCGCTCCGTTGTCCCGGCAGGCAAATTAAAGTACGGACGAGAAAACGGCCCTTAGAGATAGTATTCGAAACGCTTGTTTCTCCTTGTTGAACATCGCCATACTTTTTAAGACAAATACAACTAGTGGAACAAGTTCACAGCCCCTTCTGATAATGCTGAACACAACAAATATCTTACGATTAAACTGTACCTGTTTCAGGTTTTTTTGATTTCACAGGGTACCACATTTTAAATATTCATTAAAAAAATATTTGCTGTTGACGCAGTGCAGAAGGACCAGCGAATACGATACTCACCTTTGCCCGGCTTATCCTTCAAATGCAGGTCACGTATTGTCCTGCGAATTTCGATGCGATACGGCACATGCATGTTCGCGGCTATGGCTAGTCCTAGGCCCCAATTGTCGCCTGAAAAATACATAGAGGCAGAGGGTGTGAGTCAAATAAGGCGTTGAATGTCGAAATTAAATTGCGCCTTTGTGGCACGTAAAGAGCTGGTGTCATGTGTGTCGTGGCTGTTTCTCGATGCACCCCCTGTTAACACCCACATCGACTGTTGGTTTCATAATGAGGTGTTGCGGTCCGCTTATGGACCTTTAACAGAGAGTCGCAGAAAGTCGATATAGAACTGGCTTTGACCAAAGTGAATATAAAACAAGAAAGGAAGCTAGCCTCGACCAGCCGAAGCTTATATACCCTTGCAGATCATTCCTATTAATTAACAAATCGCAAAAATGTTCAATATTCCATTATTTCTCATTAACTTTCCAATCGTTCCTACACACAAAGAAAAAACTTGGTAAAATCAACTGTAATAATTGTCAAATAGGCCCCAACCAGCAAAATTGTCAATTCTACTAAGTAAATAGTCATTTCACAACAACAAAATACACACAATTAGCAAAGACACAAACCCAAAGCAAAAACAAAATACACGTAACTATTTTAATAGTTACGTAACTATCTTTGTTGGTCAATTTTACCAAGCAAATTTGTTTGTGTGTATGACGGCTGTAGGATATAGTAGTTCAATTTTGATAAAATTAAAACCGGAATTAGGAAATATTTAAAAAGAGTCATATCCTAGAGTAGAAGAGAATACAATAAAAACCAACAAAGCAATCATTTTTTTCCTATTAAGTTGAATTTAATTTTCCGACCGTTCCTACACACAAAAAAAAACTTAGTAAAATCAACTGTAATAATTGTCAAACAGGCCCCAACCAGCAAAATTGTCAATTCTACTAAGTAAATAGTCATTTCACAACAACAAAATACACACAATTAGCAAAGACACAAACCCAAAGCAAAAACAAAATAACTACCTTTGTTGGTCAATTTTACCAAGCAAATTCTTTTGTGTGTCAGCTATATGATTTAAAGTCCCGATTTTTTCAAAATTTCATACGAAATTCCTAAATATTTAAAAAATAACATTCCCAAGAGAAGAAGTTAATATTTCAAGAAACACCAAAGCTATAATTGTTTTAAAGTTTTTTTTCCGATCTTTCCTATGGGAGCTATAAGATATAGTTGTCCGATCCGGCCAGTTCCTACTTATATACTACCTGCAATAGAAAAAAGACTTTTGGGAAAGTTTCAAGCCGATAGCAACAAAATTTGATTGGTAAAATTGACCAACAAAGATAGTTACGTAACTATTAAAATAGTTACGTGTATTTTGTTTTTGCTTTGGGTTTGTGTCTTTGCTTATTGTGTGTATTTTGTTGTTGTGAAATGACAATTTACTTAGTAGAATTGACAATTTTGCTGGTTGGGGCCTGTTTGACAATTATTACAGTTGATTTTACCAAGTTTTTTTTAGTGTGTAACCAACCTTAAAAGAATAATTAACGCGGAAGGAAGTGGCACAACTGCGTATGCAGTATACGCGCTATACCTACCCACTGAATATTTGTGGGCGTTAGAATGGGCGTGGTATTTTCGGTAAAACTTTTTACCTAGCTTTAAAATTGTGGGCGCAATGCCCCGTTACTCGTAGAGTAAAAGGGTATATTGTATTCGTGCAAAAGTATGTAAGAGGGAAAAGGAAGCGTTTCCAACCCCATAAAGTATATATATTCTTGATCAGGGTCACTAGGCGAGTCGATATAGCTATGTCCGTCTGTCCTTCTGTCTGTCTGTCTGTCTGTCTGTCCGTATGAACGCTGAGATCTCGGAAACTACAAAAGCTAGAAGGTTGAGATTTTCCACACATATTCTTGGGCTTCCTACGCAGCGCAAGTTTATTTCATCCGAGCGCCGCGCACCCTCTAACGCCTACAATCGCCCACTAACGATTTTAAAATGTGTCTGGCGCCCACACCTTTAAAGATTTCCGAGAAGTATAAATGCAATTTTGTTGTGTATATTTATACCTATCGAAATATATAGAAGACATTTTTCAAATCGGACCATTCATTAGAAAGTAATACGCAATCAAAAAAATTTTATGTATCCAGTGACAGGTATTAGATAATCGGGACACAAACCCAACTATAGCGTTCCCTCTTGTTTTAAGAAGTTAATATGCGAGAAAAAACCAAATTTATGTAAGACTAGCAATACCCGAAGCGTCGTTGTCTGCTACTATTGGCAAAGCATTTATTGCTGATTACTCCCGTTACTCGTAGAGTAAAAGGGTATATTAGATTCGTGCAAAAGTATGTAACAGCTAGAAGGAAGCGTTTCCGACCCTATAAAGTATATATATTCTTGATCAGGGGCACTAGCCGAGTCGATCTAGCCATGTCCGTCTGTCCGTCTGTATGAACGCTGAGATCTCAGAAACTACAAAAGCTAGAAGGTTGAGATTTTCCACACATATTCTTTGGCTTCCTACGCAGCGCAAGTTTATTTTAGCCGAGCGCCACGCCCCCTCTAACGCCCACAATCGCCCACTAACGATTTTAAAATGGGTCCTGCGCCCACATCTTTAAAGATTTCCGAGAAGTATAAATGCAATTTTGTTGTGTATATTTATACCTATCGAAATGTAGAAGACATTTTTCAAATCGGACCATTTATTAAAAAGTTATACGCAATCAAAATATCTACATATATCTATCTCCCTCGCACTCCCTTTAGCTGAGTTACGACTATTAGTCGGGACACCAACCCGAGTTCGCACTTCCTTTAGCTGAGTGACGGGTATTAGATAGTCGGGACACCAACCCGACTATAGCGTTCTGTCTTGTTTTTACATATATTCAAAATCAAATTGATATCAGAGTAAAATCCCGCGTAACCTTAGCTAAACAGTAAATCCACCTAAAACGCACTAATATTCTAATCCTTCTAGCCATAACATACCTTACCTTAACACCGCATTAACCCTAATATTACCTCACCTTAACCCCACCTATTTTATTCAAACCCTTGGCACACTTTTTTAGCACCTTAATGCTGTTTTCACTATTTCCTAGCCTTAACCCACCTTAGCACCAGTTTTTCTTCTTCTTAGCTAACCTAACTTTAATCTCACCTTATGTACATGCCAATTTATCGATGTGTGTGTTTGTCATTGCGTTTCTCACATGCAAATGTGACGACTGAATGTTTTTCCCTGCTCTTCGTTATGCATTTAATGGGTTGGCTACACACTTTGACTTAGACTTGCATCCATTAGATAATCCGTTCTGGTATCCAAATAGTAAAAATTTTATCAGGTGTTTCTAAGCCAGAAAAAAAAACATTGGCCGCCTCTCTTTCGCTTCAAATGACCCTCTCTCTGCTCACTACTCTCTCGCTCTGATTTTGATGACGTTCGTGAGTGCTGCGAAAAACAAAAACAACGTGCTGCCAAAGAGGCCCCACGCAACCCCCGCAAACAAAAAAAATCTTATAAAATCAACCGTGGGTCTAAAAAAAATAAAAATACCTTACTGATTGTATGGCATAGCTCCATACTTTAAACCAAAAACGGATCCGATCGCATAATCGGTGCGGAAAAATTAATGAAGTGCCCCAACCAGAAGTCGGTTGGGGCTCATCATCTGGACTTTCAAAGATTTCCACAAACAAAGCTTAAAAAAAATATCAACTGGTTTGGTTGGAAACTGTGGGAATGGTTGATGTTTTAATCAACCAGTTTTGCATTTTACGAGAGTCCTGGGAGTCCTTAGAAGCCGAATTTTAAAAAATTCTTTCTTAGTGCACACCTTCTCTAACACACGATTCAGACCCAATTTTTTCCAGAATTTTGGTCTTATGGTTTGGGCTGGGGGAACATGACGCAAATCGACATCTACTCTTTTATAGTAATACTCGATTGATAGATGTTTATTGGTAACTTTTTATTAAGTATATGTGTAATAAGGTAATATTTAGATTAAAGGAAGTACAAAGTGTTTCACAAATCTTGAGTTAAATCCCGACACTTTAGCGACTTTACAACTTATCAATTTTATCGCAGCAGACTCGATCAGCATCTCTTGCAACTTTCTCGCAACTGCTTCAGATTTTCGGGACTTCCCCTACTTCGAGTCTACACAGAAAAAAAAAAACTTGGTAAAATCAACTGTAATAATTGTCAAACAGGCCCCAACCAGCAAAATTGTCAATTCTACTAAGTAAATAGTCATTTCCCAACAACAAAATACACACAATTAGCAAAGACACAAACCCAAAGCAAAAACAAAATACACGTAACTATTTTAATAGTTACGTAACTATCTTTGTTGGTCAATTTTACCAAGCAAATTTTTTTGTGTGTAGGGCTGCCAATCTGCTACTCTTCATGGGGTTGCCAGAAGTAGCATTTGGTATATATCGCCTTCTACACTCGGCCATCCTGCATATCACCTGCCTCAGATGATTCCTTGTCTACGTCATCGTCGTCGGTTTGCTCAAAATAACGCCAAAGCTTCATGTTGTCGACGCTGGTTGAAGTTTCTTGTGGACCTGCAAAATCAGAAACTTTCTTAACGTCGTGATAGACAGATTCTGGCTTTCGCTTTTTATCATAATGTTGTTTGTAGGTTTCTTGGGACTTCATGATTTGATTCCTAACCTTGACTCTGATTTGGTTTCTCTCATCTTGAGAAACCGAGGGCATCTCGTCTTCCAGAAGTTTGATCATGTTGGTATCAGCTTCGTTTTTCATCTTCACACCAAAAAGGACTTCGAAGGGTTTAAATTTGGTAGACGCATGAACATGAGAATTAATTATCCTTTGAACTTGAGGTACATACTTGTACCATTTGGACGGTTCAGCTACTGAAATCTTTTCCAGCACTGCCAATATTACACGGTTAACGCGCTCTATTTGGCCATTTCCCCTAGGCACGCCTGTTGTTGTTTCAACGTGTTCAATGTTACCGTTGAAGCAAAATTCCTCAAAACGGTTCGATGAGAATGCTGATCCTTTATCGCTAGCTAGCTATACCCGGAGTGACTTCGTTCGCTCA